CAATAATTACCAACCGGTGTTCGTAGATGTATATATAAATATGTGTAAATTCAATTTGTGTATTGCAAGTAAATGAGAGAGAGAGAGAGAGTTGAGTAAAGTGTAATTCTTTGTATTAATTCTTGCATTGGTCCTTTGATGTTACACAATGGAAGTATTTATAGTGATACATGTGAAATGGGAGCCCTTGGATGAGGTGGCACGTGGCCTCATCTCTTTGATTAAAACATCTTATCCTAGGCAGAGGGCTTGACTTGCTAGCTTGCTGCGCATTTATTGCTTGTGCAGAGCCTCCATGATAGTGACAAGACTTGACCTTTATGTTTATGACAAACGTTCCATCAATCATTCGAATGAGATCTTTGTGTAGACGGTCTCTTGGGAGAAGTGACCATGGAGGATGCTCCCATGTGGTTCGGAGGCTCCTGCATCAGTTTCGGGGTTTCGGCCATTTCATACAATACTCCCACTTGAGGGCTTCGGCTAACTTCAACCAGCTTCCGCATCATGGCGTCGGCCATAGGCCTCAGCATGTGGACCTCGATTACGATTACAAGCCTCGGTGAAAGGGCATGCCTCGGATTGGAGGGCTTCGGCCATAGCTCACCTCGACAATATATACCGCCTCGACTGGAATGCCACGTGGTTCGACCTGAGTGGGCCATTGGCCAAGGTAGGTTGGCTAAGTATGACAATACGCAACACACACCATTTCACAAAACGTTTCACTATGACCACCCAATTTCTTACAATGTTTTACTATCGCCATCCAACTTCTTTTTATCATTTTCACTCGATTTAAAATGGATAAAACGACAACTTTTGCATTATATATAAAATAATTTTTTAGAAAATAAAATAATAAAATAAAATCTTATTTTAAAAAATAATAAAATAAAAAATTATTTAAAAAAGTTACATAAAAAATTAAAACATTTTTTATTTTATTTTTTTAAGTTACGATTTTATAAAATAAGTTTTTTATTTTTTTTTTTTAAGTAACTTTCTTTTAAATAAGTTTTAGTTTATTATATTTTTAAAAATTATACTATATATAATGCAAAGTTACTGATTTACCTCTTTCAAAATTAGGGTGTGTTTGATACACCCAAATTTTCCATGGAAAATGGAATTTCAACAATATTTTCCAACTTTTAAGGTGTTTGATGGGTATATTTTTCCAAGGAATTCAAGTTCTTGCTTTTCTTGAATTTTGAAATTTTCTTGATTTTTAGGGAAAACTAATTCCCACCTATAATTACTGTAGCATATATATTTTTTTCGGTGCTTTTTTTTTTTTAACAAATTTTAAGAATTATTATAAAAAAATATTTCTCTTTAATTGACAATTTTCATGTAAAATAAAGCCAAACAAATATCAAAAGGTAGATGATTTTCTTGAATTTTTTTTTTTTTAACAATGGAAACAAGTATCATTTTCGATACCAATAAAATCTATCCCTTTAATTGACAATTTTCATGTAAAACAGAGTCAAACGATCACCAAAAAATACTTTTATTTCAACATTTTTCAAGTAAAAAATTATACCAATCAAACACAATAATTTACAATTCCCAAGAAAATAATTTTTAGGTAATTCAATTCCCTAGAATTTGTTTTCAATTCAATTCAATTCCATCTTTAGAATCAAACGGACCCTTAATGAAAATAGTGAAAAGACGTTAGGTGGCCACAATGAAGTATTATATGAAAATGGGTGGTCATAATGAATCGTTTTATCTAATTGGTAGCCATGGTGAAATAAAATCAAATTTGGTGGCTATGGTGACACTAAATATAAAGTTAGATAATCATGATGAAATAAAATTAAATTGGGTTACCACAATGACAATAAATACAAAATTGGATGATTATTGCTGGATTTAACCCGTAATATATTTGATGGAAGGGGTTGACAAGACAACTGCCCAATTCGTGAGTGATGAATCTGAGCCGTTGATGTTCCAATCTCTCGTTCATCCACTCCTCACCTGCCTCTTTTGTTTGTTTGTTTTACAACAGTATAAAAACAACTATAAATATATGTGTAGTTAAATATTTTCATTTTGTAGAATTTAAAGCAGTGGTTTGCAAAAAAAAAAATTACTTAATCTCCTCTCTTGAATTCAAAATACTTTATTTTTTATACTCTATTTTAATCATATATTCATATAATGTAATATATTTGATGGAAGGGGTTGACAAGACAACTGCCCAATTCGTGAGTGATGAATCTGAGCCTCTCTCGTTCATCCACTCCTCACCTGCCTCTTTTGTTTGTTTGTTTTACAACAGTATAAAAACAACTATAAATATATGTGTAGTTAAATATTTTCATTTTGTAGAATTTAAAGCAGTGCTTTGCAAAAAAAAAAAAAATTACTTAATCTCCTCTCTTGAATTCAAAATACTTTATTTTTTATACTCTATTTTAATCATATATTCATATAATAAATTATTTTTCACGTAAATCTATATTTTTTTCTTACTTTTCAATCACCCATTCTTTAAAAAAAAAAAAAACACTATTCAAAAGATCATTTTTCTCCAATTATTCTTCATAATGGCCACCAAAAATTTTAATTTAAATTAAAGTCAATAATTAATTTTAATAACATATTTTATGAAATTTATAACTTTCAACAATTTATTTCTTCAACTTTTACCTAAATCTACTAAAAAATTGATTTTAATTACTACCAAATAAGAACTTATTATTTGAATTGCAACTAGATATTCAACTTTAAAACAAATGACAAGTTACCTTCATAAGATTCCATAATTTCTTACCTCTTGTTCGAAATTGGTTTTTTAATCATGTTACTGTAATTAATTTTCAATTAAACATTTTTCAAAACAATCACTTTTCACCATAATTTTTTCTATTTTTTAATCACACATTATTTAAATTTATTTTTTATTTTTCAGCAAAATCCCTTCTCTAAAAAGTAACTTCACACACACAAGGCATTAATAAGTAAGTAAGTAATACGCCCCCAGGGCACATCTTCAAGTGGTAAAAGGGGAGAGTGGAGAAATCCAACTTTGCTTGAGCCTACTGCGTCAAGGGTTCGAATCCTGAAATATGGATTTGGCTCTTGGGTAAGTGCAACTGTACAAGCAACCTTCCACCCTGTACCCTTGGAGGCATAACCTGCGATTTACCTCCCTCACGATACTCCAAGGCAGGGGCGGTGGGGGACCCTTAAGGTTGGAGTTCAACCTTCTTCTTTTTTTTTTAAGTAAGTAAGTAATACGCCCCCCAAGGCATAATCCAGTGATACAAAGGACATAAATGAGGTTATCTCACGCTTTGCTGGCAGTCG